GCTCAAGTAGAGGCTTCGCCCTTTAAAATGAGCCCAGAAACATTGTCGTACGATTTTGTTTCACGAAGTTATAGCACTTTAAATATCGACAATTTTTCGGCAATATTTTAGTGATCCTTTAATTTTGCTGTCGAGTGTATTATCATATGCCTCGGTGGTCGAATTGGTGAGACGCCTAGAGTGTAGGGAGGTCCAGGTTCAAACCCTGGCTGAGGTAATATTTTTCGCAACAACTTTTCTGTACTATTAAAAATGCCAGGTATTGTCGAGAAAACACTGACGTTGATACTTTTTTAACCTACGGCTTCATAAAAACGATGAGACCTACCACGATGGAGCCATCTTCCATCACAATAATCCGATCGCTGTCTATAATGGTATTTAAACGATGTGCTACCGTGACGACGGTGCATTCTTTAAAATTCCTCCTTATAGTGTCTTGAATTAAAGCATCGGTGCTAGAAACAGAAATATAAATTTACATGAAATTCACAAATACATTAGGGATCGTTTATGACTGCTGGCGTCTTACAAATAGATATGGACTGATTTGAAACTATAATAAGATTAAATACTCCATCACGAACACCATACACCACGTGGAGATACTAAATAAATTTAAAAAATTAATACTTTACCAATAAAAAGTTTCAATTATTTATAAAACTGCTGGTAATTCGTTAACAATTACCAAATCGAAATTATATGATATAATATATTCCGGGGAAGATTTAAACAATCCAACTCTTAAAGAATCATCAAAACTCACTGCGAATCAATATTCGCCGTGGCTTCATCCAGAACCAGCAAGCGATTGTTCCTCAGGATAGTCCTGGCCAGACATATGAGCTGCCTCTGACCATCACTAAAATTACGGCCTCCATACAGAATATCATGATCCAGTGCAACATGATTCAGCTCAACTTGCCGCAACACCTCCCACAGCTTCATATCGTCGTACTGACTGAACGGGTCCAGATTATAGCGCAGACTCTCGGAGAAGAGCACCGGTTGCTGTGGTATGATGGAGATCTTGGAGCGTAAGTCGCTCAGGCCTACCGTGCTCGTGTCCCGACCGTCGATCTTAATCTCGCCCTCAAAATATTCGTTGAATAGACGGAAAAGTGCTGAGATCAACGAGGACTTGCCGGCGCCAGTTCGTCCCACCACTCCAACTTTTCATCCCGGCTCGATGGATATGTTCAGATCCTGAAGCACAAAAGGGTGACGAAACATAAAGAATGTCCGCAAAAATGAACGATTTATCTACCTTTAGGACCGGTGGATCGTCTTTGTGGTACTTCATGCTGACGTTCTTTAGAATCAATTGTCCTTGAGACGGCCATGTAGACGGCGGTGGACTGTCCGAGGTAATTGATCTTTCTTGAGGAAGATTCGTGTACTCGAGGACTCTTTCCACGGATGTCATCAGCGACATCGTCTCGGAGAACTGTTTTATGCCGTATTGCAAGATACCGGTTAGGACCAAAGCTTGTGATATCGCCAGACCTGCTGTGCTGTCGTCTACCATCTCTGCAGCAAGAAGATCAACGAAGAGACTTGCAACAGCTCAAAGATTTTCCTCAAGATTATATAAACATATTTCCCTAAATACTAATCGTACGTACAAATACGAACAAACATACTGAAACTTGAATACCGAAAGTACTATTTGATTTTTTCTACTTTGTTGTAACTTCCTGAGTCTTCGCAAAGTCTTTTAGAAAAATTACAAGGAGTATTTGATCCTCGAGTATTTAATCCTCGACAACTAAAAGTCTTATAAGTAGCCATAATTTACCGTTCTCATTTATCAGAACTAAAGAGATGGTAATCAAAGCGATGAATAGACACATGATTATATTCGTAAAGAGACCCAAGATTGCCCCGTATGTTAAGAAAAGGTACCACGTGCCGCTATGCCGGTCTTGCAACATATCGAACTGTTTTCGCATCATCTTCTCGATTCCGGCGCCACTACTTCTGATCGTTGGCAGACCGTTCAGCGTGGCATTCACGTGCGTGAACAATGGACTCTTTGCTGAAAATGCAGCAGGCATTAACTTAAAGATTCAAGTTTGATGGTGAACGTAAGAACAATTCTAGAGGTAAAGGAGATACGCCACGCGCATCCTCTCTCATTCCTGTCTGATGACGAGTTACTCGAGTTTCATTACTTACTTATGCCTTCGAGACGTTTGATGTTCTGAGCTAATCTCATATAAAGTTTCGTCGCAAAGTATAATAAGACGACCAGTACTGCTATCGGCATCAGCATCCAGAGATTAATTATCGCCTCCATGATCATTATACCACTCAATGTGAAACACAACTGAATCGCGTCCAACATTGTATTGGGCAGCAGCACGTCGACAGTATTAATTTCTTTTGAAAATCTATTTAAAATTCTCCCTAAAACATGAAAACTGGTAAATCTGAACAAGGTTGAAGAAAAATCCGGAAATTGAGGTTCATGATCAAGAGGTTGAAATCGCGAAATATATAAGCTCAATAATTTAGTTCATTTTACAACATTACTGTGCAACACTTACTTTACACAAAACACATTAAGGCTGATGGCAGACAACTATCCGTAAGCGCTTAAGACTGACGTAGCCGGAGACTTAAGGTAAGGCAGAGAAAAACGTAAACCGTAAGGAACACGTGTTCCACGTTTTTCTTTTACGTTTTTCTCTGCCTTACCTTAAGTCTCCGGCTACGTCAGTCTTAAGCGCTTACGGATAGTTGTCTGCCATCAGCCTAACTCTTACTCGTATGCATTCCTATACAACGTCGTGGTGTAGAATTCATTAAATGGAAATGTAGTGCTTGTTTCGAAACTCAAACACTACCACCTGACATTTTAAGAATCAGCGAAACATGCTTTGCAGGTTCTCTTTTTAAGCGAAAAATGGCGACTTTTACGTCCCCTTCTTTCGTAAACTCTTACATAACGGGACAATTTCTTTCTACCTGTCGGGATCATGTGATTATTGCTCACCGGAAGGATTGACGTGAAAGAAGGACATGCGTGCCTTCAATAGACTGGACAACATGGTATTGTGCAGGTTGCAGCTCGACTGTGTGCAGATTTTCATGAAGAGGAAGCTGCGGAGCAGAACGGTGGCTATGGAGGCGATGATGCAGAATGTGTATATGTATATGGCATCCACAGTACTGAGCAGACCGTCCGGGTTCAGCGTGAAGATCGACCCAAGGAATCTGTCGTTGTACATGTTTGCGAACTGTCTAATGTCACTAGTGTTTTTGATGCACCTGACATTCTCCAAGTTGGTCCAGTACGATAGCCAGTAATCAGTCCCGGTGATGGCAACCTGACTGATGATAAAGAGCAGTAGCAGAATGAACAGGGTGAAACAGTTGCCTCCGCGATGCAAATATTCCCTGTATACTCTGCCGGATATTCGACCATGCGCCATCATCTCGGCTTCCGGGATATGCGCCGCATAATCGGAATCATCAATGTCAGACTGTTGAACGATGGCATAATAACAATCTAATTAATTGATTGGCTTTAGGGCAAGTAAGACTATTAGCGAACATGCTATACAAGTATCTCTTTCAATTATCTTATCGTATTTCATTTACGTATATTTTGATTAGACCAAGACATCATATATCAAATTTCGACAGTCTCTGTGCTTTCTAATTAAAAGGAACGAATGATAATGGTCATCTCACAACGATAGAACTTGCGGTTAATATTCCCGAGGCACGTCTCATTTTCGAGATATTTTTCAGAGATATCTCCGAAGCTCTTCTCATGTCTTCTTCCTTTTTCCGCGTCGTATAACTCAAACTGTCTAACATGCCAATGTAGTCTTTATTTGACTGTTCCAATTTGTTATAACTCCTTTGCACCTTCACAGAACCCTTGAAAATCGATCAAAAAATTTAGGCGCTTATGTACATACATATATATATATTTATACATAGAAGAAAGTCCCCTATTATGAGGATAGGCTCCTAGTATGAGATAACGGGATGTTTCTGTTAAATTAATAGGCAGCATCTATTGATTCCACTATAAATTTATTGACCTTGAGGTGAAATTTGTTTAGTGGAAAGTTCACCGTTGGATTGTGTTGCGAAAGACGATTTGTGATTAAATTTGGGTGTTGAAAACCTGCTATCTCATATTAGAAACTTATAACTCTTACAATAGAGGACTTTACTCTACACTAGTCTACACCTATATATTAAGACAGAGACAGAGACACGGAAAGAGAGATTGATAATACACGAATCTCTTCATAAAACCACAAAAAGAAAGGAATTTAAAATTATTTTGATTATTTACTAGTATTAACGCTCGGTAAAGTTAAATTCTTCACATTTCGAGTGATTTGAAAAAATTGCGTCTAGATGGAAATAAATTTAAAGTTGAATGATGTGCAAAATCCGATCGGCAACCTCCACGTGCACATTGGGTTACGCTGATGTCGACGGTAATGAACGAAAATACAAGGGTTACTTCAAAAAGCTGCAACTTGGCGAAAAAAAATCGCAGTAACTTCTTTTTTTTAATTGTAGGGAAAAGTACACTTTTTGATACTTCGGGCAGAATTAGCGAGGAAAAATTTCCTACGCCCGGGCACCCGGCCAAAGTTGGTTACTTTTTAAGTAAAAATATGTCCTTACATTTTAAAAGCTACAGCAGCGCAGATGCGTTCGAGGAAAAATCTGGTGACTAGTTTTTGAAGCTGAAAGTGCAAGCTTTAATTTAAAAAAAAAACGTTCTTGCTACGATGATTTTTAACGGAGATATCGTCGGTTATTGTCGAAAACACAAGAGTTACTTCAATGAGCTGTGATTTGGCGAAAAAAATCGTAGGAACTTCTTTTTTTTTTTAATTGAAGAGAAAAGTATACACTTTTTGATACCGTAAGCAGAACTGGCGAAGAAAAATTATTACTCTCCGTACAGTGCGTCAAAGTGTGCAATTTTTTAGAGAAAAAACGTGATCTTGATTTTGAGAAAGTTCCGGGAAATGGGAAGAGTGAATACAAATTCCAATAAGAGCTTCTTAAAGCAGAGGCTTTTGCCCTATAAAATGAAAAAACAAACTTTTCGATTCGACCAGTTTTCACGAAGTTACGCTTATTTGAAATTCGCGAAATTTTGATGTAAATTTCTTGTTGTGTTAATTTTTTTGACCAGTGTATTTTGTCGAGAATGAATAAATTAGAATTATTTTCATACTTTATTTGAGATTATCGATTAACCGTAATATTCAATTATAATATCGGTGTCATTCGTGCGGCAAGTTGCTTTTTTCTGGATCTTACGTCATTTATTCTACATGTCTCGCGATACTTTCAAGATGCGTTTAGCATAAATACATGCATAGTCACACGCATCTCGTATTTTTGCGGTCGGTTTTCGCGATCAGTTTTACACAACATATTCAAGAATTATTAATTGTTTAATTTCATCCATATTATAAATTTTAATTTTTTTATCGCGGAAGATAATTAAAATAAATATAACGCAAAGTAACATTTTTTCTATATTTATGTGCTTGAATTTTATATTCAAAGATCGAGTCACGAAGATACGGTCAATACTTTTGAGAACGGAAGTAAAATTACACTTTGCTCAGTTTTAGAAATTAACTATTAAGAATACTCTTAAAAGTCACCAGCAGTAATTAACAACATCAATGATTTTTATTGACCGTATCTGGCAATTGAAATTCTTATTGCGAAAAATATTACCCCAACCAGGAAATCATT